TATCATGGGCATGTGATGAGGAAGAAGGACTTGCAGAATGTGACACTAGCAGGCCAAATTGAAGGCAAAATAAACAGCTTGAAACAGTGAATAACGTACACAACGAGCTCTTATAAATAGGTGGCAGGTTAAGGAACAAGATGGATCGTAAAAAGACTAGCAAGAGCTACAATATCTAGAAAGTTGTGTTACGGTTTTTTGGGTATATAACGCCTATAACTAGTGAGCGAGTCAGAATGACTTATTTCCCTTTATAGTCGACCAATAGAAGGTTGGCCAATCAGAAGCCGCCCAACACTGTATTCGTCGTGTATAAAGGCGGCCATCTTGTTTCCTCTACCGGAAGGACCAAAGGCGACCAGGAGAAGGATGAACTACACTCTACTGTGATATCGTCTGCGAACTTCCACTATGCTTTCCTACTGTCTCCGAAATATTCACTGCCAACCTCTGGATTCTATACTCAAGGCCGACCGTCATGAAAATGTCTAACAAGTTGTAGAGATCCATGATCGCTGACCTTCAAAAAAAGAGAGAGTGCAGACAGAAGAGGGTTATCCTGGTATGTCAGCATAATCCTAAAACAGATTTGAATCATATTGATTTAGTATTTATTCAGCGTTCAAAATACTTGGACGAGATCAATGGGAACGAAGCAGCTGATAGCAATCTCTAAATTTCCAGAATGCTTTGTAATGTTGGACGTAAGCAAGGTCATTAAATCTTATGAAGGGTACTTTTGAATGGTTTACAGAGCAAGAACCCTAGTTTCGGTAATATTAAATAGCTGCATTCTTTCCAGACAGGCAACGAAAGTCATGTGTAATAATACCAATACATTAATTCCACCAGGGTCTAGAATCTGGCATTGTGTGTTATGACCTTCTTGCTAAGTGACCAAAACAAGGCTTCCCGTTGTAAATGTTGAACGGTATGCTCATCAAACTGACTTCGTGATTTTCCGTTTTTTTTTCTTTCATTTGTTTTTCCCCGGTTTTATTAGATGTGCACCAAGCAGAGATTTGTTTGCAAAACCCTTGTCCGCCTTTTACGTTTTATCTGAGGGGCACAGAGAAATACTCACATATGCGCAGTGAAGCAGAAAAAAATGTAGCAATGCGCAAGACCGGATAAAATATAAGCATTCATCGAAGATGGCCGTCCGCAAGAATGCATTTCCAAGATAAATCAAATAGCATTTATATTCATGTTAGGATCGGATGGTCATTCAATACAGTAAAAAAATAAAATAAAGCAAAATTAAATAAAAAGAATCGTGTCGCAAACCGAAGCGGAAGTATTAAAATCGGGGTTAAAATATGAGAAAGGTAATTTTCATGTATGTCAGAGAGAGAGAGAGAGATAGGGACAGAGGAAGATAGCGGAAAAGAGCAAGAAAAAGAGGTAGAGAGGAAGGGAGAGTGGAAGGAAGAACGGAAGACAGGGAGAGAGAAAAAGAAAGACGAAAAAATAAAACGAATCAAATCTAAGAGTTAAAAATGACCAAATACTGAAATAAATTTTGTTTTTCGAAACAAATTTAGTCACAAGGTCATGTATCGTGAGAGTTTTGTATGTATTTCCTTTCCTATTGTAAGACGTAATAGATCAAGAATTTAATCCGGAGCTAGTCAGAACCTTTTGTTTTTAGTAAGTTTCCCCAAAATAAGGCCCATGAGCCATTCAATATAGAGGGCTAATGAATGAGTCGTGAGATATTAACATATGGGGAAGAAATAGAAAATGAAGAATATAAATATACGTTGAATACATAGCACTTGATCTTAGATCTGAAGAGTTTAAGATTTCAGTGAAACATCTACGCGACAGTGTCTTCTACAACCTAGTCACTGTTGGGGAAATTGTTTAAAAAGTAGGACACTATTTTTATAAAAAGGCCTACGTCGTTAATGAACATGATCCAACATTGTAGACGTGACAAGGCTGGTCTAGTCAGTAATGGACTAAGCTATGTCAAAATAGAGTGAAAGTTATCTGAACAGTTGCCAAGAAAATAGTCATAAATTAGCTAGAGGATAGCGAGGTTGTGTCTGTGGGAAAAAAAGAAGTCATTCTTCAGACATCCGCGTAAAAGATTATGAAATCTTTCAAGGCTGGGAAGTGAGGGATTGGGGACAATGCTGTATTTTTGGTCTTGACCCTTGAAAGAGCAATACAAATGCAGAAGGATATGCACCTATGTTTTACAGACTACGCAAAGATGTTCGACAACGTACGCCACAAAGATTGGTTGGAACTGCTCAGTAACCATGATATGTTTAGGAAATATATTAGAATAATCAAGAACCTCTACTGGCAGCTAATGGCCAGCATATGGATAGAAAATTAGTTCAGCATATATAAAAATTAGAAAGGTCCTTAAAGCAAGGATGTGTCGTCCCACCGGAGTTATTCAACCCATACAGCGAGACATTTCTGAGAGAACTGAAAATCCTACCAGGATTAATTATCGGTGGTCACAATATTAACAATATAAGATACGCAGATGACACCGTGCTGATAGCGGACACAGAAATGAAATTAGAAAACCTCCTCCAGAAGGCAACGAAGGAGAGCGAGAAGAAGGGACTAAGCATAAAATACAAGATGACAGAATGCATGGACATCAGCAAAAATAATTAGTCCAAAATGCGATTTACAAATCGGAGACACAAATGCGGAGATTTAAATATCTAGGAAGCGTTCCGACGGAGGACGGAAAGTGCGACGCTGAGATCCGGAGATGTATTAGGATGGCTACGCAGAGTATTACGAGAAAAGAGGATTTCGATGGTAACAAAAAAAAAATATTACTAAACTGCTACGTGACATCTGTTTTCATTTACGGCAGCGAATGTTGGACGGTCTCCTCAAAGATGAAGAAGAGACTCAAGGAAACAGAGGTGTGGTTCTACAGAAGGATGCTAAGGATACCATGGACCGAGCGCGTGAGCAACGATGAGGATTTAGAGGGGATGCAAACAAGGAGGAAGCTTTTACTTAACATCAGGAAGAGGCAGCTGAAGTTTCTGAGATGCGAAATGAGAAAAGAAGGCTTGGGGAATTTTATACTCAAAGGGTGGATAGGGAGAAAGAGAGAAAGGGGAAAGTAACGCGTGACATAGTGGGCTTAAGCAAGTGGATGACAGAACAGGGTCTGGGAGAATTAACAAACAGACAAAACATATTGAGAGCTGGGAGAAATGGAGAGTCATGATACCCACATTAAAACCGGCCTTGTGCCATATTCGGTTCTCGTGGGTGGAACGATAAATACTCAGTGGAGAGTCATGATTGCCTACGTTTTGAAGGAGCAGCTACATAAAAGAAAAAGAAAAGATAAAACATATTTTAAATGAAACAAATAGTTTGTTTTATAATTAGTTGTGTACTCGGACATTTAGCCGAAAATGTAATGGCATACTTACATGTAAGTCAACCTATTTATCGCAATGTGCTACATATATTTATATTTATTTACTGTATTTATAATTTTTCGTGATTTCTTTTAACAGGATTTTTTAAAAATATATTGTGTATATATTATATTTTACTTCAAATATTTCTACAGCAAAAATCGTAAGCTTTTACGATAAAAAGGAGCTTTCAATTTCGCTTTAATGATCATTATCTTAAAGAATATTTAAGTAAATGCTCTGTTTGATAATAAACAGTATTTATAACATTTACCGGCCTGAATGTCCGAGAAATTTTCATAGAAAATATTCGTCCCCCGACAGGCCAGTATATGTTATTAATACTGTTTATTATAAACAGAGCATTTACTTAAATATTTTTTATCTATAAAAAGAATGTATAAACATAAAAATGTCTTAAAATAATTGTCGGACTTTGTCCATTTCATAATGTGTGACGTCATTTATTTACATTTGGATAGGCCATGAGCAGATATGATTCATGGAAGATTGAAGTTTAAAGGCAGTAAATTTAACCTTGCTAATCGAACGATCCGCTGTGTCTCGATCGGTTAAGAGCACGTCATGCTAAATGACGGTTCCGTATAGGATACAGGTTCGATTCCTGTCGGAGGACGAATATTTTCTATGAAAATTTCTCGGACATTCAGGCCGGTAAATGTTGTTTAATACTGTTTATTATAAAACAGAGAATTTACTTAAATATTTGTATCTATAAAAAGAATGTATTAACATAAAAATGTCTTAATTTCTCTCTCTCTCTCTCTCTCTCTATATATATATATATATATATACATATATATATATATATGTGGTGAGTGAGAGAGAAAGATAGAGAGTATGTGTGGGTATTATCTCACTGACAGCATGACTCATGAACAATGCAATGTTCAGTTGTTGGATGTGCAGATATGTATGTGCATGTGTGGAGTGAGAGAAAAAAAGAAAAAAATTAATCTGAGTAAATGTAAAATTTTGAAAAACGATTTTTTTTTAAACAGGATGAACTAAAATGATTTTTTAAATTTGTACGTTACTTGCATTTAATCATCGGATCATAAATTTACCCAAGGACCCAGTGTGGATCGAACGCATTACACTTGCGAATGGTTTGCGTAATAATTTCCATAACAAGAGCAAATACACGACTTTAGAGAACTCACTAGTTCGTGGAACTCACGAAAAGGAGAAAAACATGAGGTGTTTTTAAAATGGATAGAAAACAAATTTTGAAGGAGAGTGAGACGGCGAAAAGAAAAAAGCAGTAGAAAGTTGAAAAAAAAAAAAAGAAATAGCGTTCTATCGTTTTTAATGCAAGATTCTATTTTAATTAATGACATTCTCCAACAAACGTTTTGACCGCCGAATGCTGCTGGATCAATTTGAATTTAAATTCAAATTTGATTTTAATTTTAGTCTGAAATGTAAAGTCTGCTAGTCCTTTGCGATTTCAAGCTGAAATTTAGCTCAGAGTAAATTACGTTACAAATGCAAATAACATCTCATCAAATGTCCACATGTTAATCCAATAAAAACATGGCGGCATGATTGAGAGAGGTTGCTTCAAGACAGTTTGTATTTCGATCGTAATGAAGAAGAGTAAACCATTAATTGTGACGGACAGAGGGCAGTAGAATGAAGCGCGGAGTAAAAAAGACGAGGAATTCTGTCGAGGGCATCGTACTGAAAAATGAATCGTTGTAGAAGGAGAGATTTTGGCTTGGTTTGGTTTGTTTTACAGCATATCAAACTCAATCGGTCATTTAATGCCGACAACTTTCTTTTTTTTTTCTTGGTAATATTTTTGTCAAAAATCTATTTCTGGAAATATTTTTTCCTTAAAATTGTATAGCTGGTAATATTATTTTCAAAAACGTACTGCTGGTAACAGTTTTTTTTTTTTTAAACGTACTGCTGGTAATATTTTCTTTCTTTCAAAAACGTATTGCTGGTAATAGATGTTTTTTTAAATTTATTACTGCTAATAATTTTTTACAAAGTATTTCTGGTATGAAAACCTATTTTTACACTTTTATAATGCTTTTTACCGCAGTTTCGTGGTTAACTATTTGCCCGTTTCTGGGACCCTAACAGGTGCTACCACCAGCAATTAAGAGGTGATTCCAAGCTCTTCAAAACCTCCTAATCAGAGGCCTTACTGTTGGACGTAGTTTATCGTCTTACACTGGACGCGGATGTAATTTATCGTCTTTCCCTGGACGCGGATGTAGTTTATCGTCATACCCGGGACGGAGAAAGATAGAGATAGCAGAGAAGATGATTTTGAGAAATGCATCATGGAAGAGATGCAAAAATACATAGAAAGAAAATTGAGAAAATAGAAGGAAACAATGAAAACGCAAGAGACAGAAGGTTAGATTAAAAAAAAGAGAAATCTAAACGGGCGTCCTAGAAAAGAAAATAGTTTTAAACTGAAAAGCTTATATAGTCGAACCCGCTTCACGTGATTAATTCGGCCCAATTTAAACTCACGTTAGACGAAACCGCGTTCAACGACGAAAAGAATTAATTAGAATTAATTATAATGTGTTTTTAAGCAACTTTAAAACGCATAAGCTGTTAAATTTCATAAAAATAACCCTGATATTTACTCCATGATTCGTGCTAGACAATTTTTTCTCAAGTATCTATCTTAAATATTTATAAGTCTACTATTTGTCCATGCATTGTATATTGCTGCTTCTGCTATATATTAAAATATTCTTGATAAAATCCAAAGAACAATCAGAAATATTATTAGTCCTGACCTGGCATCTCGGCATCAGTCAATTTCCCAAAGCTGAACTGTAACTTTCCTGTGCCATTTCTATAAATATTTTCATGGCCTATGTTCTGGTGAGCTTTCCACTTTGGTACCTCGACTTTATGAATTTCAGTGCAGTACAAGATTGGCGGCTAGGTCTCATTATTTTACATTTGAAACTGCTGGATGTAACCGTAAGTTCTGTGTTAACAGTTTCTTCCCTCGTATTTCTCGATTGTTGATTAACTTCTTGCTTTCCAGTCAACTTTGATCTTCAAATGTTTAAATGCAATATAAATCTTTATATTTAGTCTTTCTCTACCGTCTTCTTGATTCCTCTTCTTTTATTATTCCCGCTCCTTAGTAATATTTTCTTATTGTTTCCCATTCAATACAGCCTTATGTCTTAGTGAATTTACTGTCTTGCTTGAGATCAGATGATTAAGACGAATTACAACATAACCAAACTATTAAATATATTTATCGAAATTTGGCCGAAACAGTGAAACTCCGTCGTTTAGAAAATGATTTACAGAATGAATTTAGTAAAATATTCTAAAAATTTTAAGTTAACTATTTTAAATTCAATCCATGAGCAATCTAAACAGGCCATCGTTAAATTCGCATACGTCCAAATATCCATGGAAAAACATATAAATCCATTCCGTCGTATAGGTTAAATCTCAAAACATATCCCTGGAAAAAACATTGGTATTTTCACAAATATTATTAACAATCGAAAAAGAAAAAGAATATAAATTCCAAAAAGAAAAAGCATATTCTTGAAACGCGAAATATGTTTTGCTGTCAATACCCAACAATGGGTTGATAATGAATTTATAATGGAAATACGAGCCTTCTCCATTTTTAATTATTTCATTCCAAGCAAGGCGATAAATCTACGAAGACGCATGGAGTTATTGAATGTGAAAGAATCCAAGAAAACATTATGATGGAGAGAGGACAATAAGAAAACATGAATTACGGAGATAAAATACGACGATTTTCAATAGATTTACATTATTGAGAAGCAAATTTTATTGGAAAACAAGTGAGTTCCAAAAGGTGAACTGTCAACAGAGAACTTATGGTTATGTCTTGCTAATTCAGTATTAATGATGAGACCTGACTGCCAATCTAATACTTCGCTGAAGAATCTGTCTATATTTCTGAGATGAGGTATTATGTACACTATTTACATTATTCGGACTATTGTTCTCATATTTGTCGCCATATTTATTACAACGTTTCGGCCCTTCGGTATCTGTCTATATTTCTGAGATGAGGTATTATGTACACTATTTACATTATTCGGACTATTGTTCTCATATTTGTCGCCATATTTATTACAACGTTTCGGCCCTTCGGTATCTGTCTATATTTCTGAGATGAGGTATTATGTACACTATTTACATTATTCGGACTATTTTCTTCATCTTTTTTGCCATATTTATCACAACGTTTCGGTTGTTGTACGCTCCGACCTTCTTCAGGTGGTTGGAATGCCAAACTGAACCCTTTATTTCGCTTGCTTAGGTAGCCTTTATCCACTGTGCTATGTGTCAAGGACACATTCATTACATCTTGTACATTCAGTACCTGTCTATATTTCTGAGATCAGATATTATGTACACTGTTTACATTATTCGGACTATTATATTCATCTTTGTTGCCATATTTATCGCAACGGTTCGGCCGATGTTGGAATGTCGAACTGAACACTTTATTTCACAAGCTGGGTTAGAATGTTCTAGTTCCACGTTCTATGTCTAATGGACGTCAGTTATCAGTTATCTCCTTTTAATTAGACATGGCCCGTGGAACTAGAACAGTCTACCCCAGCGAGCGGAATAACAGGTTCAGTTCGACATTCCAACCACCTGAAGAAGTCCGGAGCGTAGAACGGCCGAAACGTTGTGATAAATAAGTCCAGGTCAGGACTAATAACATTACGTTATTCCTCTTTGGGTTTGTCAAGAATTTTTAAATATTTAGCGAGAGCACCAGATCAGAAAACTAATAATTAGTTAATTAGGTTCAGTAGTTCACAGAAGGAAGCAAGGTGTAGGAATCGGAGATCCGAGTTCGAATTCAAGTCGAATCCTTTACATTCACTTACGAGCTTGGGAAAGGTATGGATTCTCTATTTCTCCATCCAACCCTCAAATGTAAGTAAATAGCAGGACAGATCGTGCTCTATAGCATTGAATGGCAACTAGACTGCTGCAGAAAAAATGGCAATCTACTGCGGGATAAATCTGCCACGTTAGTTATATATCGAAAGATACATGACCGGCTAAGCATGTATCACGCATCGCATGTAACTGAATTCAAGTTAAAAAGAAAAAAACGAAAAAAAAAAAAAAAAAAGAACGAAAGAAAGAAAGAAAAAAATAAAGAAAAAACAGATACAGAAATCTTATTTTAATAACTACAAGATTATCGGAAAATTATTTATAACCTAAAAATCTTAAAATTATTTTATTAATAAAATCAAAAACCTTATTAAATTGAATTAAATAGATAAATAATTAGGCCTTCCGATTACCTCAGATAAATAATGGACTATGCTGCTTTGATTGCAACGAAAGACGCAAGAAAAAGATATATCAGATATGCCGTCTGCTTTTAGTGAGACAAAAAGCATATATAAGTAAAAAAACTAAAAAAAAAGAAAGAAAACAAAGGAAAAGCAAAGACGAATCAATAAAGAAAGAGATAAGGCTATTCGGCGTTTAATGTCTGCTTCAGTGAAATGGAAAACCTTGTCAATTTTGAATTGTGTTCTTTTTCACCGAACACTCAGTTTTTGTTTCGTCTAACCAAATAACTGTTGTACTCTATAAATCTCTTGTCTGCTTCAAAAACCTTTTAGCGATTGCTGAACAAGATTTTTTTTTTTTTTTTTTTTACTTCAGCTGGTGTTTTTTCTCATGTTGCTTGTCTATGAAATCCAACATCGATTGAATATTGCACAAATTGTTGAGAGGCGTATATCTGTTGTAGCGTTTTTTGCATGAACCTGGATAAACCTTACACTAGATTTCAGATTGATTAATATTGCCTTTGTAATTTCAATTACATTTTGTGTTGAAGACGTCCACTTCCAGGTAACTATATGGCAACAAATGGATTAAACAGTCCAATAAGGTATTTCTATATCGCTCGGACATTTTCTTATAGCATCCATGGAATTGGTAATTATTCAGTCAATTTTACTTAGTATGTCCGTTATTTAGTTTTCATTATGATTTTAAAAATAGTATGTGAAAAAAAGGAATATTTAGGGTTTCACAAATGAATGGCCCAAATTAATTTTATCAATGAGATTCAAATATCTTCTCCTTCTATATAGCGTTCCTTTTCAGGATATGGGTGATTATGGCTCTCCGTGCTTTATAGCTCTTATTTTTTAAATAATTTCACCCTAAGCAAGGAATAAAGTCACTAAGACGCATTACTAATTACACAATAAGGATTAATGAGTTTTAGAGAATATGATAAAGAAAATAAAAACGCAATTAAGGAAAGAGAACAATAAAATATCAAGAATTGCATTTAGACATCTGAAGATCAATGTTGACTGGGAAGCAAGAAGCCGGAAGTGAGTTTCTCAAATGAGATGTGCGAGAGAGATGTATACATCTGTGCGTAAAAATTAATGAAGTAGCATATGTTTGAAGGCAATACAAGTAAAGACAAAGCAAAAGCCTATTAGACCAAAGCAGTTTGTTCCTTGAGGACATTTATCAAGGCAAGTGTAAAAATGTTATATAGCAACTCGTATTTATACAGATCTGTAATATGGAGACAAATAAACTTAGTTTTCAAATTGTGAATTAGTGAACAAGTCAACATACTTGTGTAGGACCAAAAAAAAGAAAAGGTCATAAACATTTGCCGGTTAATCATTTAAATGAAAAAGAAAAAAAAACATAAAAGAAATAATAAGAAAATCAATAAAAATAACAACCTTAAGTCACTTTCGCTTTCCACAGGCGAAACTGCTATGGAAAATTCCATAGAAAATGTTCTGACAAGCTAAATTACTTAGTTGCAAAATTTCATTTACATAGAAGCGCATCTATGCCTTGTACACAGGGGCGAATCTAGTTCCCATTGTATTCCAGTGGTAAGAAGTAAGCGCCATTTCAAAAGCTTCTTCTAAAGGATCGTTCCTTTTTTTTAAACAGAATCTCGAAAGAATGCTCCCAGACCACTAGAATCTTACCACCTATCCTACATATCTTCAACATCTAAACTTCTTATGTGCATAAATTAACCACATCCAATAACTCTCTACATTGAGGTATTCATGCGCCTTGTATTAGGTGAACAATAGCGTAAATAATATCTGTATATGTGTGTACGAAATATTTGGTTTTCTTCTAGGCATCGTATCACTGGCAGACTGTTTCAAAACCATTGACTCTTAATTCTGTCTGGATATCAAAGTACTTATCATGAAATGTTTTGCCAAATTACTCAAAAACATTTTCAATTATTGCGAACATTTTTTAAGCATATGACCCCAAGCAAGGCGGGTGGTGCACCAGCAGCAAGCAAGCGGTTACAGGGAGTGAGAACAAGAATAAAAAAGGGGTGTTTCCCGTAAGGATAAAAAGAAGGACAGGGATTAAGATCAAGGCATCTGAAGATCTCAATTGGCATTACATTTTAACGTTTGAAAATTAATAGATATCAGGAAGCAAGTAAAAGGAAGGGAGTTCCACTGACGGGAAGTGCGAGATAAGAAGCTGTTGGAGTAGAAGAGGCGGTTATATTTAACAGGTTCGACAGTGAAATGGTTGGGCCGAGATGCCAACGTAGTAGCACGCTTAAATTGATGAAGTTTGGGAACCAGTGAAAGTAGATCGTCGGAGCAGTTGCCATGAAAATACTTGTAGAAAAGACAGAAGGAAACCACAGTACGTCTGTGATAAAGTGACTGTAGACGAGATAATAGATCAGGACCTATCACATTGCATAGCCGTCTCTGGATTTTGTCGAGGACCTCGAGATGAACAGCGGGAGCAGCAGACCATATGTGGCAGCTGTATTCAATGCAAGGACGAATGCTTGATTTGGTAGAGAAAAGAATTTGACTTCTATGTTCTTTGTCTCTTCAGGACATTGCCTCTTTCTATAGGTTGAATAGGACCGGTGAGAAGACACATCATTGCCTTACGTCTCTTTCTATTTTTGTATATCTGCTGAACACATTTTCTATCCGCATGCATGGCTCTCCACAAGTTCCTGTCATTTGTATCTTTTAATAACTTGTGGTATTTATGTTGTCATTGTCTCTCGAACTTCGTTGTTAGAAGATCTAAAACGGAAATTGGTTACTGACAACTCAGCAACGTTGGGAAAGATATTGGAGAAATCAAGAATCTATACTGGCAGGAAATCGAATGCATGTGGATAGAGAATGTGTTCAGCAGATATACAAAAATAGAAAGTGACCTAAGGCAATGATGTGTCTTCTCACCGGACCTATTCAACCTACCAGGATTCATCATTGGCGGCCACAATATTAACAACATAAGATACGCAGATGACACAAACAGGGAAAGGAAAATTACAAAACCCCTTACAGAAGATAGAGGAGGAGGACGAGAAGAAGTGATAGAAGTGATAAGCATAGATAACAAGAAGACAGAATATATGATCATCAGTAAAAATGACCGAAATATAAGTTACAGGTTGGGGACACTAAAATCAAGCAGGTGCGGAAATTTAAATATCTGGGAAGTTTTTTGACAGAGGACGGTAAATGCGACGCTGAGATCCAGAAGACATATTCCAAAAGCTAGGCAGATTATTAAAAGACAGGAGGATTTCGTTTGTAACAAAGAAAAAAGTACTGGACTGCTATGTGATATCTGTCCTCATTTACGGCAGCGAATGCGAGACGGTCTCCTCAAAGATGAAGAAGAGACTAGAGACAACGGAGGTATGGTTCTACAGAAGGATGCTGAGGATAACTTGGACCAAGCGTATGAGCAACGATGAGGATTTGGAGAGGATGAAAACAAGGAGGAAGGTTATACTTAACGTTAGGAAAAGGCAGCTGTAATTTCTGGGAGACGTAATGAGAAAATAAGGCTTGGAGAATCTGATACTCATAAACCGTAAAACCGGAAAGTGAGATAAGGGAATGCAACGCGTCACATACCAAGTGGATTGCAGAATAGGGTTTGGGAGAAGTAGTCAAAGGACAGAACATATAGAGAGCTACAAGGTATAAGGAGAAGTGGAGAGCCATGATCGCCTACGTCTTGAAGGGGTTACGTCTCATAAAAGAAGAATAAAAGATCTGCCAGACAAAATTCAAACTTGGTTCACCGATTCTATCATACATATTAATAATCCTCACGCACTTTCTCTCACACTTTTTGTTTGTTTCTGATTGAAAGAAAGAAAAGAAAAGAAAGAAGAAAAGAAAAGAAAGAA